TTTCAAGAGAGACTTGTTTCCAGAATTGAATCTCGTCAAGAGCAAATCGAATCCAATGCTGTAATTGGAGAAGGTCAAAGGGAGGAAGTTGAGCTTGCTAGTGAAGTCGGAGATACGAGCGAATCTTTCAGTCGAGAAACTGAACAGAACGCCTCCCTTAGGCCGTCCTACTGAACTTCCTTTGACACTGATTTGTCCGAAGCTTCCGAGGTGCACAGCCTAGAAGATGGAATGCAAGCATATTGACTTGATGAAGTAGACCCAACCTTCGAAGTGCCGACGTCGGAAAGTATCACGACAGTCTGAAAAGGGGACTGACTCGTCCGTTGACCCAACTCCTCTCGTTTGGCGACGAGGTTGCTGATGCTGTTTCGACAGATGAAACGAAAGCAATGAAGACTAGGATAGCGTCGAGGATAGCGATGGATCCCAGGTTACTGATGCTGATTTGACTGATGAAATGAAAGAAGTTAAGACTGGGATAGCGACGAGAATAGCGATGATTCCCAGTTTGCTGGTGCCGACTCGACTGATTCCAACGAGGGTGATGCTGACATGAGCAGCGAAGACGAAGATGGCGACAATGATCGGATCAAGGAGGACGGAGCCGATGACGGTCAAACGGGTAAACTGGATGTGGCCCTGAAGTGAAAAAAAGTTGAAATTGAGGACATCATAAATGACGATGCGAAGAAGTCCTCTTCGTTTGGAAGTCTTACGTTGTGGCCGCCTGACAAGGTGGTTGGTGGATTCGCAATAGTCTTGTTCTGCTCTTGCTTTGCGTCTACCAAGTCTTCCAAAAATGCTGCCGCGGTCAACGTCGATCTGATAACTGGGGACATTTATCGACAGGTTGCAAATTCAGTATAGTAATGCGAGGTATAAGGATGATTGCGATGACAATGACTCCACTGAATCTGGGGGAGACATCGTGTGAATTGACCATTCACCACGAATAGACATACCTCAATAATCAAGAAAGCACAAGAACCAGAGGTACTCCAGGAAAGGCGAATGGATCCATCTTTGGGCGTATTTGGCCGCAGCTTGCGGAATGGGAACCAAACATCTCGTCTTGCGTTTTAAAAGTTGACATCATCGTCACTCGTCACGCGCTGGCGGCGCATGATGTATTCTACGTCATTATTCTTCGGTTCGTATCATGTCACGCAAACGCTCTTTCGAAAGCGAACTTTTCTGCCGGCACAGTTCTGATGCTACCAT